TTGTGACCTCTTTCGCTTCACTCCCTCCCTCTTTTATGTTCCCTCCTCTTCCCTCCTTCCCCCTCCCTTCCCTCTTCCTCCTGTCCCTTCTCCCCACCCTTTTCCCCTCAGGTAAACTCTTCTTCCTTCCCCTTATTCCCCTCCCCCACTATTCCCTCCTTCCTCTCCCTCTTCTACCATCACCCCCTTTCCTTCCCCCTATTACTCCACGTCCCCCTACCTTCTTCCCATTTCCCCCCCCCTTCTCCCATACTATCCCCTTCCCCCTCTCCCTCTTCCCCCTTTCCCTCCCCCTCCCCCCTCTTCCCTTACTATCCCCTTCCCCTTTCCCCTCCCCCATCTTATCCTACTATCCCCTTCTCCCTTCCCTCTTCCCTCTTAACTCTCCCCCCCCCCTCTTCCCCTACTTGCCTCTACTCCCTTCCCCTTCCCTCTTCCCCTTTTCCCCTTTCCCCTACTATCCCCTCCCCCTCTTACCCTACTATCCCCTCCTCCCTTCCCCCTCCCGCCCTCTTCCCCTACTTGCTTCTACTTCCTTCCCTTCCCTCTTCCCCCTTTCCCTCTTCCCTCACTCTCCCCTTCTCCCCTCCCCCCTCTTGCCCTACTATCTCCTTCCCCCTTTTCCCCTTCCCCTACTATCCCCCCTCTTACCTGCTATCCCCCTTCTCCCTCCCCCCTTCCCCTCTTCTCCTCCCCCCTCTCCCTACTTGTTTCTCTCCCTTCCCCCTTCCCCCTTTCCCTCTCTTCCCCATTCTCCCTTCTCCCCTCTCCCTCCCCCCTTCCTGATATCGCGATTGCTTCTTTTGATTCAAGGAAAGTTTTATCGCTTGGAATGGGGGGGGGGAGTAGGGGGGGGGCGGGGGGAGGGGTGGGGGATGGTTTGGAAGGGTGGAGTACGCTTAGAAGATTTAGGGGTTAATGCGGCAAAGGGGAGGGAGGGGGTTAAGGGGAGGGAGGGGTGGGGAAGGTTGGAATCGGTGTAGTGATTAGAGGGTAAGGGTGGAGGGGCTATGTGGGTAAGGGGTAGGGGGAGGGGAGGGGTTGGAGGTGCGAAGGGGGAAGAGGAGTTGAAATAGTCCCTTGGGTCTATATACATATATATATATATATATATATATATATATATATATATATATATATATATATATATATATATGTATGTGTGTGTGTGTGTGTGTGTGTGTGTGTGTGTGTGTGTGTGTGTGTGTGTGTGTGTGTGTGTGTGTGTGTGTGTGTGTGTGTGTGTGGTGTGTGTGTGTGTGTGTGTATGTATATATATATATATATATATATATATATATATATATATATATATATATATGTATATATGACACAAATACAAACACAATAACGTCTACACAAAAATGAAAATGAAACCACAATGAGAGTTGAAAATAAGCGTGACGAGTTCCTCTTCAGACAAAAACCGAAATGTCTGAAGATGAACTCGTGAAGAGTTCGAAACGTCACGTTATATATATATATATATATATATAATATATATATATATATATATATATATATATATATACATATATATAATAAGCACATACATAGATACAGACATACATATATATAAACCAAGAGGCCTCCGCAGGATGTTAGTCACCACCGTCCACCGAGCTGTAACACAAAGGCGGCGCGACCTTCCTCCCTTCCTCCCCTTCTCTCCCTTCCCTCCTTGTCCGCGCACCAAAGGCTTCATAACCAACGGCGAGGGAGAGCCAGGAACATGGGGGGGGGGGGTCGGGAGAGAGGGCAAAGGCCGACGAGCAGTTTAGGGGATGGTAAGGGAGGGGAAGGAGGTAAACCAGTTCTAAAGGGAGGGTGGAGGGAAGGGAGGAGAAGGGAGGGGTAGAAAGGATACCCAGTATTTAGGGAAGAGGAAGGGGAGGGTTGAATCGGCAGCTAGCTACATATTCACCTGTACATCAATCTACCTGTTATTTGCGTTCGATCAGTTTTCTCACTGTACGTGTGTGTTTGTGCGAGTATACATACATATATATATATATAATATATATATATATATATATATATATATATATATA